AGTGGAGGAGCCCGAGGTGGAGAGCCGATGAGCCAGGGCGACGGGGAGGATCCGGAGGTCCTAGTCGGAGCAGATGGGGCCAGCGACCGACGCAAAGGCGTGGATTCGGGAGGCCGCGGTGGATCAGACAGTTCAGGAGGCCATGGCTGGACAGCCTCCGTGGCCTTGGCCTCGCCACTCGGCCCGGCCACTACAGCTGGGAACTTAGGACGGCCACTACGGATGGACCCATACTACCCCCCAAAAAAAATCCTTGGGGAGAATATCGTCTTTAGAGGCCCTCCGTAGGCCTAACTCTGGAACAGTGGCCCTCCCTGGGCTTGACTTGGGGACTGGAGCCCTCCTTGGGCTCAACATGAGAACTGGAGCCTTCTCTGGGCTAAACACGGGGACTGGAGCCTTCACTGGGCTAAACTCGGGGACAGGAGCCCTCACTGGGCTAAACTCGGGAACAGGAGCCCTCACTGGGCTAAACTCGGGAACAGGAGCCCTCCATGGGCTAAACTCGGGAACAGGAGTCCACTCTGGGCTGGATTCAGGGACTGGGAAGCGCTTACTAGATAGCACAAGGAAGACATTCAACTTGACGAAGAACTAAGGAACAGACAGGTATTTATAAACACAGGATAATTAGAAACACAGGTGAGCGGAATCAATCACTAAACAAGAACAGGAAACATGACCAAAAAGGAAAACAGGAACTAAGACAGAGGTAAAACACAACAGACAGTCCAGAATCCTCACACGTTCTCATTAAATATCTTTTTATTGTTTTATTGTTGTAGTACATGTTTGTATAAGGCACTCAAGGCGCTTGTGGAAAGGAGAGGAAACCAAAAACCAATCATGATTCAATCACAACGACGTCTGTTAGATGGATTTCAAATTGCAAACATTTTGACAATCAAGTCAGTGAGAGATTTTAATATTCTATTTGTAAATTTGTTCATTAAATACTTAATCTATAAAAAGATTGTATGTGCAGCTAAATTATTTTCAGATAACATAGAAATTAAGCCAAATAATATAAGAAAAGAACAACTGACATTTTTCATGGATTCATACGTTTCCCAGAAGTACTTCTGGTTAATGATTGAAAGAATTGCGCAAACTCCTACATTTCATCCAAAACAATGTCAAATGGTTTCTTCATGATAGCGAGGAGCCTGAAGCAGACATGGGAACTGAGAAGGAAGAGTTGGAATATGACCATATCACATTTTAAAGAGCCCTGTTTTTATCCTGGAGTGATGAATCGATAGCCCTGAAGCTAAATATCATAGCTGCATGTCACTTCTGTGGATGAATCTTTCTCAGTCAGACTATAACTATGTGCGACTCACAGGAGTATTTCATATGGTACTGTTCCATAATCTACAGACAGCTTTGTCCATTAATATTGCAAATTTTCTGCTCATACGTTCTTGTGAATTTCAAGATTGTCTGAAAACCATTCATTTTTATTTGCTATCAAGTTGCATAATCTGAAATATACACTCATATCTGCTGAGCACTAGTTAGTTGTGACATATGATCATATTACGCCAATTTTACAGTCTCTGCACTGGCTACCTATTAAGTTCCGTATCAGTTACAAAATATTATTACTTGCCTATAAGGCCCTTAATGGGTTAGCTCCTGCGTACCTAACTAGTCTTCTACCACGCTACAATCAATCACGCTCCCTAAGGTCGCAAAACTCTGGACTTTTGGTAGTACCTAGGATAGCAAAGTCCACTAAAGGAGGTAGAGCTTTTTCGCATTTGGCTACCAAACTCTGGAATAGCCTTCCTGATAACGTTCGGGGTTCAGACACACTCTCTCTGTTTAAATCTAGACTAAAGACACATCTCTTTGGCCAAGCATTCAAATAGTGCATCTCATAATCTTTTAAAAAAAAGGTATGTAGTAACTAACTCAAACCCTCTGGATATAAGTATCCCCTAAATTATTACATTTAAATGTAAAATCAACTATCTAACTGATCACTGTTGACAAGTGAGACAAGTTGGTTTCGTTGAAGTTCATTTGAATGTGATGAGGTATTCTGGATAAGCCTGGCAGTCGTGGAAAACCACAAACATGGAGGGATTCTGCATATTATCCACCACGCTGTCATAGCGGTCAGGTGCCACATGAACAGGGGGTGTCCTCATGTCCGCCTGACCCAGAGCGTAATAACCCGTAAGCACACGAGCCACAAACATGAGCTGAGTCCCATCTGCTGCAGGAACTGCATACTTGTTTTGGGCAGAGTAGCTGGCGTTCACAGCGAAGTACGTCCCATGACCGTAGTTGGTGGCTGAGAAAGGTATAGAAGTTATCAGTATCGATTAGTCTGCAAACTCAACAATTAATGAGACCATCTATTAATGAGTGGTTGATGGTGGCTGGGAATCTATTAGACTGTTAAACTATAAAGAAGAAGTTCATCCAATGGAATAAAAGTGACTGTTCACCCAAAATCACAATTGGGTCAACCCTCGCTGTTGGGTTTGTTACTCCCACAGTTATTGTGCGCCTTCTGGAGACAGTCAGATGAACCTCACTTTATGGTGCTTTTTTTTTTACAACATTTCCATTTTTGGGTGGACTATTAATTTAATCAACCTGAAAAAAAAGAAAGCAGTTACCATTTTGCCCTGCAAAATTTCGATTAAAGTTGGACTTCATGATGGATGAGCAGGATTCCTCTGATGTGCCGTGATAAAGGATCTTCTCTGCTGCTCCCACAGAACCATTTTTGTTCTCCAGCTCTATTTTACGCCCCTCGTATAACCGCCGAAGATTCATGTTCTGGATGCGCTGGATCTGTTGAAATACATTTGCACTCAAACAGCCATGTACAAATATATTTGATGGACTTCACATTCACATCTGCCGTTCTTCACAGAAGCAAACTATAAAGACTATACTGCCATAATGAAAACTTGGTACGGTAATTAGAGCAACACTTTCAAAAGGTTAAAGCAAAACAAAATTTATCAATAGGTGCTATTAGTCTAATCTGGCCCTTGATTTAACCTAAGACCTTGTTGTAGACTAACTCTAATCCTAAAGTGCAACTAGATATGAATTAAAGGGGTCATATGATGTTGCTAAAAAGAACATTATTTTGTGTATTTGGTGTAATGAAATGTGTTTATGCGGTTTAAGGTTCAAAAAACACATTATTTTCCACATACTGTACATTATTGCTTCTCCTCTATGCCCTGCCTTTCTGAAACGTTGAAGCGATTTTTACAAAGCAAAGCGAGGTGTGCTGTGATTGGTCAGCTATCCAGTGTGTTGTGATTGGCTGAATACCTCAAGCGTGAGACGGAAATGTTACGCCCCTTACCATATTGTGTTTCCATGTGTCCCGGCACGACGAGACAAAACCAATAAAACCCCATTACAAACGATGCATTTGTTGCTACCAGTGGGGTCATAATTACTGATTGTAATGACTTATACTTTTTACGCTTTGCGTTGCGTATCGTGGCGCGTAAACATAAAACCATATCTGCATTTGTGATCGGAGAAATGACAAACAACAAGCGCTACTCTACACTGCCCAAAACTCACGTTTGAATCATCAGTGGCAAATCCTTTAAATTGGGCTCCGCTTCATCCACGGTGAAAGCCGATCCGGCGATCCACATCACGAAGGTGATGTATTCCCTCAGCGACCAGCACGGATCAGCTCCAGGCATGACGAAGCGGATATCGTCCTCTTTTGGAAGACCAAACAAAGTAGTTTCACATAAACAAAGTAGTACTTCACAAGCCTCCACGACATGGCGGCAGCAACAATACTACAGCGAGAATAAAAGTTACGCCTTCTTTCTTTGCGTGAACATTTGGGCGGTGTTATGCAAATCTTCCCACATAGTGAGGTAGACGTGGGGGCGTGTTAGAACGAGCCGTTTTAGGTAGGTGTGGCTGACTCTTAACTTTTATAAAGAATATCTCTTTGGATTTGAGACTTTAGTCTTTGCAACTTTACAGATCTTCTTTATGCACCAAGAGCTTGTAACACTCCAAAGAGAAAGGAAAAATTGAAATCGCATCATATGACCCCTTTAAGAAGACATTATGTCCTTTTTATGTCCTTCAGGGTGGTCATGTAACGCATGTGAAGATGGTGTCAGGTGTCAAACCTTGAGCTCTGTTTTTGTGACAGTCTTCTTGAAGTCTGCCTTCACAGTCTGATACTCCGTGGATGATGGATCTAGGTCAATCACCTGTAAGGAGTCACCTTGACTCATGTTGTCCCAGTAGATTGGCAAAGAGAAATCTAAAGCGCCAAATAGTGAGGGTTCTGATTTAGTTGGATTATTATGTATCAATTTATATTATAGATGTAGATCAGTGATTTTCAACTGGACAAAGATTTAATTTTTTTAATCCGACACAGTATCAAATGTATATTTAACGTCATATATTTTCATATACTATGAAAGTGGTTCCTCACCTGAAAGGTTTTCCAGTCGTTTGAGAGCGGTCACCTCTCCTGAATGACATGCTTTAGCCTCCATCTTTCTCAAATTCACAGTCCATTTCACACCCTGTGCATCCACAATTCCATCTTTCACATCTTTTTTCTCAAGCTTATAATTCACGTCTTTTGGTACCTTCTGCCAAATGCCCCGTGATCCCAAAATGCACCACGTGACTTGATTGAAGAGAATGGACTGGTCCTTGTCTCTTACCTTGGAGTTTGTGAGAAAAAAAAAGTTAGGCTTTGCAATTGAATGAATAAATAATCATGAAATATAATATGATTTCAAGTTTTTATTGTATTTCTCATTATTCAATAAAATGCTATAAAAGCATATACAGGTGCAGTGTATGTGTGTGTATATATATATATATATATATATATATGTGTGTGTGTGACCCTGGACCACAAAACCAGTCATAAGGGTCAATTTTTTAAAATTGAGATTTATACATCATCTGAGACTATTCAATACATCAATATTTGGACAAAATTTGGCCGAGATACAACTATTTGAAAATCTGGAATCTGAGGGTGCCAAAAAAATCAAAATATTGAGAAAATCATCTTTAAAGTTGTGCAAATGAAGTTCTTAGCAATGCATATTACTAATCAAAAATTAAGTTTTGATATATTTATGGTATGACATTTATAAAATATTTTCATGGAACATGATCTTTACTTAATATCTTAATGATTTTTGGCATAAAAAAAATCAATAATTTAGACCCATACAATGTATTGTTGCTATTGTTGGGTCACATATACATACATACATTAAAAAAAAAGAAGAAGAAGAAAAAAAAAAATTATATATATATATAGGAAAGGTCCATGAGCTGGGATTCAAATGCATGAAACTCGTAGCACAACAGCACTATATGTCGGTGCGCTGTCCGGGCTATCGGCATCAACTCTTTTATGTAAATTCTATGCATTATGTTCTGAGGCAATTGTGTGGAGAATTTATTTTTAATGTTTTTAATGTTAATTCATTGTTATTCTCACCTGTCTACGAAGTGCGTCTTGTATCAGTCTAACCACCTCATTCACTCCATCCTTCAGTCCTTTTACTACCCATCTATCAGAGCTGCTTGTATCTATCTGCAGGTGCAGTGAATTCACTTTAGAGAGCAGCTGGTCCATCTCATCCGGAGTGAGGCACCTGATCTCATCAAGAAAGAAAGTGTGTGTGGAGCACTGGTCCTCATATGCCTGCTGAAGTTCTCTACAGGTATCAGACACTTCATTATTGGTGTGACCAATGACTAGAAATGCTGCTCTGCTCTCTGTGTCAGGCAAAGATGTCACTAGAGAACTCAAGTCCAAAGCGACTGGTGAGGTTAAGGAATGTGATCTGCTTGATCTAGTTGATCCACTGCGCCCTCTGCTGATTACACTGGTAGGTACAAGTGGTGCAGGAGCTGAAAAAGGTGAATGTGCAAAATTGACAATGAGTGTCTGGTGAAAACACCGTAAAAATATTGAAAAAAACTATAATGCATGAGATTGACTAGTAATAAAAATACCTCTGCATTACCTGTTAACTGTGTATTACCACCAAAGATTTGCTTTGCCGTCGCTTTGAATGCCAGGAAAACATTAATCTTCAGCAGAACGATCCGAATCCTTTTGAGATGTTGAAGATTCGCTCCTTGAACACCATCCTTTACTCCCTCTAGAATGGATTTGGCCACCACATTTGGATCCAAACCTCCTTGTCCTGCAAATCCCATTTATAATGGCAAAACGTTTCTACTATTCCATTCATGCATATTTCAGAAAAACTACTGAGCAGTTATACTAGATACAAATATTTTTATGGTTACAGGCCTTAAAGGCACAATATGCAAGATTGTTTTATTAAAATATCCCAAAACCACTAGAACAGTGTTATATATTTTGCTGACTTGTGTACTTACATTATCCCAAATGTTTCGAAGAATGTTTAAATCCAGAGAAATAAGCAATTTTAACTAGTGACACGGACCGTGTCTATAGTGTCATTGTGTCGCCTGCTTATGATGTCATAACCCTCGATTTCCTCGGTTTTGTTTTGTCACCAAAAGACGCTTTAATATGTTGTGCGTTTTAATAGACCGGTGACGACCGCACAGAGTAGCATTATAACAGAAAGTTCAAATATATCTAGTATGATAAAACAGCGCTGCTTTACCCCACATACGCACGACCGGAAGCAGCGGAAGCGGTCGACTGTAGCATAATAAAAGCTCCGCTGCTTTCGGGCCGTGTGTCGCGCTCGTTCAGCGCCTCGTTTCGCTTCGGCTTTCAGCCTCACCCTGCTTCATTCTACTATGTTAATAAATCATTAGCTCATCATGAACATGATTTCTGCCCGAGTCCCGTCGGATTGCGTCGGCTGTGGGGATGAAGACCACAACTCCCATGATTCCACACTCAGTGACGTCATCAAACTACCTTTGCCTCTTTGTTTATTTTGAATACGCGCCCTCTAGTGGCGAAAATTACATATTGTGCCTTTAATTCCAAAACATATAATCTTGGTAGGTAAAGACCATGACAAAGTCCTGTGAGACTTCAACATTCATGGTGCTAGCAATGCCAAGATCATAGGTTAAATTCCCAGTAAATGCACAAACTGATAAAATGTTTATTTTGCATGCTACTTAAAGGGATAGTTCCCCCAAAAATGAAAATTCAGTCAGCATTTACTATATAAACTGTATGAATTTCTTTCTTCTACTGAACACAAAAGAAGATACTTTTTGAAAGTGAAAGCGACTTTAGAAAAAAGCATCTTCTTTTTTCTTTTGCATAAATGTAAAAAAAAAAAAAAAATACTAGGCTTAGTATTTGTTTTTTATGTGGGAACCAAATTTATCAAATGAGTGTCATGCGCTCAATGCAAGCAAAGACAAAATCAGTATTCTTCAGCTGTTAAAATGTATGGATATATCTCACAATTGGACTTTATTTTAACATTTATTTTCAAATTACAGTATTTTTTACTCTGAGGTGGAAACAGACCATTGTTATAGGTACATAAAACAAATAATACATAAAACAAACTACCTTACAAGACATCCATTTTTTTTCTCATTGTAAGTAATAATGAAGGTACTGACCAGCACAGATCGCAGGAATGGCCACAGACCAGTAGCAGCCGTGCTCACTTTGAACCACTATTTCTTTTGCCAAGGTCTTGATAACACCAGGGTCCCTCAGTCCACAAACATGCATGATCGTCTTACAGGGGAAGCCTCCTGGCGGGGTCGTAAAGATCTGCCCTCTTGCTACCTGAGCCGGAGAATACATGTAAGAGAACGCGTTAGATTACATATTGCATGTACAGTACATATTTCATTAATTAAATCATTTGTCTATTTTAAAGTGTCATTTGGTTTTCTGTATTTTATTTGATCTTTTTAAAATGCCTAAAGAAGGTTGCCATTTCTGCATTTCTAACTATACTTGCAAACAGGTTCAGTTAAGTGCATGTTGTTTCTTCAAATTCTCTAAAATCACACTGTTTCTAATGAAGGCATGCGATTCTGTTTTAATTAGGTTAGACCATTTTCAAAGGAAAAGGCTTCCTGGGTAAGTCTATAAATTTTTTTCTGTGCATTCAAACATGCTTGACAAAAGTCTTTTTACATATGTGATCAAATCAAAAACTAATTTTATAAAAGAAGCTGTAGTTTATTTTTTCTTACCGTCTGTCAGTTGAGCCTGGATTTGAGGTCCTGCCTTAGTAAGGATGTCCTTACACACTCCTGTGATGGACAGGTTAAACACTCTCTTATGTTCTAAACAGTGTAGCAAGAATGTTTTGGTTATTAAATTACAAAATCTGCATGAATACCAGCTGTCTGGAAGTCCTTAAAGTCAGTGGTGTTCACGATGGCCTCAGTAGTCTCATTAGTGATGTCTCCAAACACTAGATGGAGTTCAATCCCATCTACTGGCATGATGATCTCATCGAGGTCAGAGGTCAGTGAGTGAAACAGAGCTGTGGTGACAGTTAAAGACATGATGTAAGAAGTACAGATGTAAGAAACCTTA